GTCATGGCGACCTCTGGGAGTCATGGCATTCAGAGAGGTGGCTTGACAGCCTGACTCTGCCTCCTAGCCCTGGTATTCTCTGGAGGTCTCCCATCCAAATACTTGCCAGGGTCGGCCCTGTTTAGCTTCCGAGACTGGGCTTGCCTGGGCTATCCAGGTCAGGGCTGCTTTTGCTTTCTTAATAGGCTATACAAGTTGTTGACATGACTTCTGTCTCAAATCAAAAAATCTAAAAGCTTGTGAAATGCCAGCTTGACAGAGAGAATTCTAGACTAGTCTTATCCCTGGTAGGCAAGTGTTTTTTGTGACAGAGGAACAGTTGACCATACTACTCTACATGGCAATGCTGATTAAAAAAACACACCCCAAAGTGAATACTGAGGCACCACTTCTTGCAGGGATTTATCCAGGCACATCAGTAACGAGATACAAACTGGAAGTATTGGCAAATAGCACATGTTCCAATTCTGGAATTAATGTTAAACTAAAATTCATGAAGAGCAGCATGTAGAGCAGAGTGTACCATAGAACAATCAAGAATTGAAGGGGGGGGAACATTGGCTGAGAGTTCAAGCATCCTGTTGCAGATGTTTTTCTTCCTCCTTGGAACATTGCATTGAATAGAAGCTGACGGGAAAGGTTTGACATAATTGTCTACACTAACGAAACAACATCCCATGTCATAACAAACCTATCATAGCAATGTGCAAACACTGTAGTTACACAAAATTCTGTTCAACAGAGAGGTCTGTGACACTCTAGAACAAAACACAGCCCTGACCTAGATAGCCTAGGCTAATCCTATCTCATCAGCTCTCAGAAGCTAAGCAGGATCGGCCCTAGCAAGTACTTCGATGGGAGACCTTAAAGGAATACCAGGGTTGTGATGCAGAGGCAAGCAATATCAAACCTGAATGTCTCTTGTCTTGAAAACCCTGTGGGGTCACCATAAATTGGCTGTGACTTGACAGCAAACAACAAAAGAACAAACATTTGTACCAAGGAAAATAAGTCAATAAAAGTCACTGCATTCCCCTTTCCTCTCTTATTTCCATACCAAGTCAACAACTCTCTAGCTACCAAACTACATTTCTAGCCTGAAGAATTGAATGATATTTACCACCAGTATTCCTTAGATGTTGTTGTTATACCTGCCACCTCAAGGCTTTTCTTGAATGAGCTGAATGATCTGTTACTGATTTTTATTATACCAAATTAGGCTTTTATGCTTTAACATTCTGTACAACCAAGAAACAGTGAGAAATACAAAAAACAAAACCCCAAACCCTTTAACTTTTATTAACATATTTTGAACAAGTACTTTATTAGGACACTTTCTAACAACTTGCACTTTAAACTATTTCTTACAAGGCTAGAAACTTTGCCAAGAAAGCATCCATCATTCTCTTAATTGTGCACAAAAAGAAAAAAATGCTTGTTGTGAAAGGTCACCTAGTTCTGGGCAGGCCTATTCTTGTTCTGGATGTTTTTGTCAAAGGCCTAAGCAACTTGCTTTTGTCAAGTAGAATATGCACAGAAAGTGCTTGCTGCTTGAAAACATAACTATATAAAGAAGGTAATAACTCTGATGCGGTGGCTCAAGTGGTTAAGACGCTGAACTGCAGACCTGAAGGTCGGTAGTTCGAGACCCGAGTGTGCTGCATGATGGAGTGAGCTCCCGTCTCTAGTCCCAGCTCCTGCCAACCTAGCAGTTCAAAAGCAAGAAATTGCAAGTAGATAAATAGGTACTGCTTTGGTGGGAAGGTAACAGCGTTCCGTGCGCCTCGACGTTTAGTCATGCCGGCCACATGACCACGGAAACGTCTTTGGACAGCACTGTCTCTTTGGCTTAGAAACGGAGATGAGCACCATATCCCCAGAGTCAGATTCGACTGGCTTTCGAGCAAGGGAAACCTTTACCTCTACCTTAAAAACTTCATGAAATAAAGTGTACAGAATGGAGGCAAAGGATAAGATGCTTTCCCAGATTTTTGTACAAGGGATATGTAGTCTGAAGCACTAATCAGCATGTACGCACATAGTACTGAGAAGGTGGCTGTGGCTCAGAGCCTCTGCTTGGCATGCAGAAGGTCTGAGGTTCAATCCCCGGCATCTCCAGTTAAAAGGAGCAGATAATCAGTGATGTGAAAAACCTCTGTCTTAGACCCTGGAGAACTGCTGCCAGTTGGATGATTCTAACCTTGATGCACCAATGCTCTGATTCAGTGTGAAGCAGCTTCATGTCTACAATTGTGTGTAATATACAGGCACACCTACAGATGACTGCAAACCTGGTACTGCAAACCCAACTCAAATCTGCATCTTATTAATGGGTCTGCTTCCACACTACATTGCCCTTTTTTCCCCTTTAAATGTTGGCACCAAGAGACAGAAAGACTAATTCCTCAGTATTTGAAAGCTGAAGATGCATTTATTGCTGTGAGAGGGTACTTTAGCCAGGAGAGCAGAAACACTGGTGAACAAAATGTCTACTTGGGATTGATATTTCAGAGGGTAGCCACTTTGGTTAGCAGTAGAAAATGGGGCTGCGCTTACCTGTAACTTCTGCGCAGGGATACATGTGGGACTACAAAGAAGCCACAAAGATGAACAGTTAGATTTGAGTCCAGTAGTGCTTTAGTGACCCAACAACATTTTTGGGGTACTAGCCTTCAAGAATCAAAGGGAGCTTTGACTTTCAAAAGATCATACCCCCAAAATCTTGTTGGTCTCAAAGGTGCTACTGGACTGAAATCAAGTTGCTTAGGACTGATGGATTGTGAAACACCTTGAGAAACAAACAAATCTGTTAAGACGACCAGATTGAAGGCTGAAAAAATGTATTCAGATCAGATTTAAACTACATTTAAATTAGAGCGTTGTCTCAGAAATGACAGGGCCCAATCCAGCAGTCTGAGCAGACAAGATCATTCAGATTGCTCAGGAGTTAATTGACTGGACTGACTCGGAAGTGAGTAGGAGGAAAAGTGAATAAATACCACATGCTACTGTGAAGCAGCACTGACCAGATGTTCTACTCTGTTACATTAAGCAATCACGGGGAATGTTTAGCCCCATCAGAAGGAAGCTGTAATGGGAGTACCATCATTAAAGTTGCTAACCTCCAAGTGGAGACTAGAGATCTCTCTCTAAACTACAGAGATCAGTTCCCCTGGAGAAAAAGGCTGCTCTGAAGGGTAGACTCTAAGGCATTATACCAAGCAAGACCCCTCCCCAAGTTCCACCTCCAGATCTCCAAAAACTTCCTGACCCGGAGCTGGCAACCTGAACCATCATGCATCTAGAGAAATGCTAATTCTAGGTACTATAGAATGAATTAGGGGGAAGGGAAGAGAGACAAGCAAGATTCACGGGGAACAATTTTTCATCCACTGAAGTCACTCAAGGAATGGCCATGGACTTAGGAGGGAAGAGCATGATTCGTAGTCCACACCTTTAATTGGGGCTTGTCCCAAGCATGCTGTTTCCGTGCAGTCCACATCAGTCAGGGCCTCACTATTGCTTCCTGTAGCTCAGGGAAGCCATGCTTTTAAGAGTGCACGTATGGAAAAAAAATGCGTTCCAAAAACTGCAAAGTACAAATGATTAGGCAGGTCATGTCCTGTTACACATGAGAAAGTCGAATGCACATGGCTGCATCGTTGCAAGCAAAATTTTAAAAAAAGTCCTGTTTATTTTTTCCTCCTGTTTTCAGCTTCCCACATTTCTGATTCACATCAAGACATTTACAAAGAGAGATCCCAAAACCCAAGGCTGATAAGTACTAGACGTTGTTTCCCTTTGCTGGTCCTCCAGAGCAATCCTGAATTAGCAGGGGGATTGTACAAGGCTGTCTGTCGTGTGCCTCTCAGAATACCTGTAGCACCAATTCCAAAGGCAGGTTGGAAACTGGAGTAACAGTGAAAAATAAATTATGCAGCCACAGGGTAAAATCCCAGGGTGGGACAACCGCCTTTTGAAAACAGAACAGCAGAGATCAGGGATGCAATGCAGCAGTGAGGGTGAATTAGGACTGGCCACCTAAAATCTTCACCACAGCTCTGTCACTGGTGTCCATCTACTTATACCTGAATTCTAGTTATGTATAACTGCGGTGGCTCAAGTGGTTAAGACGCTGAACTGCAGGCTGTGGAAGGTCAGTAGTTCAGCAGTTCGAGACCCGAGTGTGCCGCATGACGGAGTGAGCTCCCGTCTCTAGTTCCAGCTCCTGCCAACCTAGCAGTTCGAAAGCAAGAAATTGCAAGTAGATAAATAGGCACCACTTCGGTGGGAAGGTAACAGCGTTCCATGCGCCTTGGTGTTTAGTCATGCCGGCCACATGACCACGGAAACGTCTTCGGACAGCGCTGGCTCTTCGGCTTTGAAACGGAGATGAGCACCGCAACCCTAGAGTCGGATTCGACTGGCTTTCGAGCAAGGGAACCTTTACCTTTTTATAAACATAGTGTGTAGATAAACAGTGACAAGTACCACTTCCCAATTTTGGGGGTTTCTAGACTGAGAAATCCTATAGGAACACACAGGGGATGAACAGGAAACTTGTCATTGTGTTGCAATGAGCAACCAACATGCACCCATACCACACAACTTAAAGCCAGGCTCTTGTGACATTATGGTATTCCTGTTCAGTTTAAAAGATGGACATGTTCACACTCAAAGCACTACACTAGTTGTCTGTCCAAGGTCCATCCAAACTAACAAGGCCTCCGCCAGCAGAATGCTTTCAAAGACAGGCAGCATGTAAGGAAGATCTAGGATCATCACTTCAGCCAAAACTGTTACATTGTACATTAATTACTCAGCCATTTCCAGACAATCAAGATACTGGTGCATAATGGCAGAATACTTTTTCAAGTATAAGGCGCATTCTTCACATCTTCTAAAAAGGCAACAGAGATAGAACAGTATTGTTTTTTTTTTTAAAAAAAATGTTTTATCATTTGATCCATGCTACATTTCACCAATAAACATCCCAACCAATTTTAGCTTATTTGAGTATTACATATCTATGTCACCACAGCGCTGAACTTTAATATCAGCCAAGTCCATTCATTCTGTTAACTTGCAAGGAAGTCATGTAATCCACAACAGGTCTGAAAGTGTTTTATTTAAAAAAGTTCTTGGATGGCTTTTTGTATGAGTGTGGGAAAGATATGCATTTACTGAAATAAGAATTTAACACAGAATTACTCTGGAACAAACTTTTCCTGGGTATCAGTGTAGCTGCATCATAAATTCACTTGGCTTGTTCAGTTTGCCACTGTGAAGCAGATCCCCAAGTACATTGTCCTTTTCCTAGAGACACTTTTTTAAATAAAAGCAGTTTTCCTTTGTAAAAAAAAAGTTCACTGCCATAGATAAGCAGTCCTTCAGCTTCTGCAATCCTGTTGCTCAAAGTAGCTTCTTAAGCCTCCCAGAATCACCCCAAGGAAGAAAAACTGATCCAAAATTTGTTCCACGTTCACAGTAGAAACTGTGCAATCAGGTTAGCCACTCCGAGAAGAATGATGAAGATGTGAACAACTAGAGTCAACCATGTCAGTTTCCCTTCCCGATGCAAAGAGATCAGGTAGATGAGGGATGGATAAACAAACACAAAGGCCAGGCCACATGTTGCTCCAGAATACCTGGGGGAAGGGGGAAAAAACAGAGAGGATTTAATCTAACCTTCTCAGAAATTTTATGGCAGAAAAGAATCCCCCACCAACACTCACATCTCTTAGAAGCCTGGCTAAATGTTTACTTGCTGCTATGGCAGAATGCAGCTGTTATCGGCTGCCTCCTCCTTTTGTCTGGAATGTGAGAAAGCTTTCTACCCTGCTGTGCTTTCTCAAGCCACATTTTAAGCCATTTGCAGAGGCTTGTACCAGATCAAAGACTCAATTAGTTCTGTGGGTCCATAAAGGGTTTGAACTCACATTTCTTGAACCGCTGCTTTCTGTAAAACTGCTTTTGGAAACCAAGGATATTCCCAAGCAAGTCAGAACCAGAAATGCAGTTCTATTTGGGGAAAATCATCCTCTGTTCCTAAACACGTTTTTTTCATGTTAGGTCACCGATTTTACCACCAACCGGTCTTAATTGCAATATTTATTCTCTCCAGTGCAGCGATGTATATTTCAATAATGCAGCAATATTTTAAGGAACAACAATAAGTGAAATAATAGCATTTATCTTGTGCTTAAGCCTGTTCTGCATACACAATCTCAGCAATCCTTACAATACCTCTGTAGAGTAGGCAGCATTATTATGTCCTGTTACAAATGGGAGAGCTGAGAGTCCATAGCTTTCCAAATGCCCCTTAATGAGTTCATGGCAGAGGTGGTTCCTGTTCGCTCTCTTGGCCACCACTCTAATAGCTCTTTTCTTGACAAAAGAAGTTTTAAAAGTATTACATGCTTCCCTTTCCTCCTGCAGTAGAGTATCCATCTGCCAACTCTTTTAAAAAAAAGGACTGAATTCTTTGCACTCCTAAAGTTTTACCTGCCTTACTACAAAAGTAAAGTTAGCTGGAGTTATGGGAAGGAAAAAAAATAAATCTAATTGTGTATAACTTATTGCAGCCTTTTGTCAGGCTGGAAGTGTTTATTTACAGAATATTCTCGACTATCCAGGAGGCCTGGACTATTCCAGCCACATCTCCAGATGCTTCGATAAGCAGATTTCCTACCTTTCATCTCATCCCACTGAATCCCACTGCATATGAACGATGCATTTTGCTCTCAGTTTGGAAACCTGCCTGCTTGTCAGAAGAGGGCCAGCCTAAGCAGTACAACTTGTGGAACCACATAATTTTAACCCCTCAAAGAGGCAGACATGGACTCACCCTGCCTCCCTGCCCCAACCCCTTCATGAACCACTTCCAAAAAAGCTGAAACAAAACATGAATGGATAACAATGTCAAGAAATCGTTCTCTTCTGTCAGTTAATGAGCTGTTTGGCAGCACCATTCCCCAGAAACAGCTGGTGCGTGAAACGCAAGAGCCAGGCTAAGCCATGTACCAAGTATAGTTCAGATTATGGTAGGACTGAGTGATGAGAAAGGAATTCATCTACCTTCAACCAGGCTGCCTTACCATGGTCTAAGGTTAATGTGGCAATGTGATTCTGACCTATTCAGGTCAGATGGGCAATTAGTCAAGGTCCCTAGAGCCCAGGGTGGTTGGGGTCAAACATGGATGCCATGCGGAAGATCTATGACCGCCCTGTACAATGAAGTTTGAGTCCAGTGGCAACTTTAAGACCAACAAAGTTTTATTCAAGGTACCAGCTTTCTTTCGTGTGCAGGCACACTTCCCTCAGACAGAATGAAACAGAATTTACCAATCCACACATATAAGGCAGAGGTTGAACAGCAGATTATCATACAACACAATAAGGATGTTTTAACAGACACAAACAGGAATAACAAGCTAAGTTTCTGTCTAAGGAAGTGTGCGCGCACACACGAAAGCTCATACCTTGAATAAAAACATTGTTGATCTTAAAGGTGCCACTAGACTCAAACTTGTTCTACTGTGTCAGTAGTACCCGCCTGAATTGTACAAACGTTTTCTTTACTTCAAAGCAGCCATGGGAAAGTGGCGCTGCAATGATGAAGAGGAGAATATTTAAACCTTCCCCCCAGTTCTAAACTGCATGACATCTTGCCGCTTCTATTAACCGCACTAGAGCAAAAGAAATACTTCTGCCCCCCCCCCTCAGTGAACAGCAGCTTTGGGAATGAGATAGAATACAGACTGAGGAAAGTGGCATGAGGAAGGGAAACTGGATTAAACCCTCCTCCCTCCACGTCTCCAACCAAAATTGCAGCTGTTCTGAAGAAAAAAGGATACTGGAAAACTCCATTCTTTTAGCACTGATCTGGGGGTAGGGGAATGGAGGTATTTTAGCCAGAATTACATACAAACCAAGATACACCCCCCCACCACCACCACTGGGATCCTTCTATCCCCAGTTGTCTCCCCAGGACTGAACAGGAGACCTAATTTTAAATCCAGTTCTGAGGAAGTCTTCTCCCAGCCACCCATGTCAGGAAACTTGACTAAAAATCGTTGACCCTGTTCCTCATAGCTGTAATGTATGGGAATCTCAGTCAAGAGTATGGCATTGAAGAAAGAACTTCAGAGCAGGGCTGTAAGGGGGGGAGACGGCAATAAAACATAGCAGAGGCTGAAGGAGAAAAGCTGTTCATGCTGGGAAGAAAAATGGTCATACCCAGTTTATTGGATTGGCTGTGGTTTACCAGCCCTCTGCCCAATTTACTTGGATCATTTTATATATATGAGATATGAATGGGGCTGTGGGGCTGACTGTGTAAAAGGCTTATAAACAGGATCCAAAATATTTAATTTTGAGTACCTATAGCAAAAGTTTGAAACTGGACAGACAATGTTCAAGCAAAGAGAAGGAATTAAGTGGCATTGAATAAGAAACGGCTAAAGACTTTCAAACTAGTTTTACTGGTTGATGCTTACTTGTATTAGAATATATATTTTAAATAAATATATTTTAAAAGTTCAAGAGACAATGTTTTAAAATAGCAGAATCGTAGCTTAACAAAGAAGAGGAACCACAGATTTTGTCTGTCCGGGCCACAGAAGCATTTAGTTTTGTCTCTCTCTCTTTTTTTTAACACATCCTCGCCAAATGTCATCCTATAAAATGGGCATTTGCCTGCAAATATCCCCAAGTATATGCACCAAAGATGTGGTAAGATCAACGTGGACAGAACCAGCCTGCCATTTTCTTAGGTTACCTAGCCAAATACCAGCGTTGGCTCCAACTATTATGTTAAATTAAGCATTTCTACAGCACAAACTGTATTGATCAAGTACTTTTAATGGTGAACCAACACATTCAAAATGCAAGAGTACCTTATGATTCCACCTATGTTAGGGTATAACATGGCCATGGCAACACCAACGCCAACAACTGCAATGTTCAAAACCAATACATGGAAAATACTGCAAGAGAAAATAAAATAAAGTCAGTTGTCTACCTTGTACATTGCTACAAGACCAACTCTCTTTATTAGCTTCAGAAAGCTAGTAAAAAAGTTTCCATTTCTATGATGTCTAAGTGTGCCCTCTGAGCACCCCATTCCCATCAAGTTTTCTTGAAAGTGTGAATGCTCAGCTAATATTAAGACGGAGTGTGTATGATTTGGCAGTTCTTCTGAAAACTGTGGAGCTAGTACAAGTACACTGCATTCCAGTTTTCCAGACTGACGTCTGCATACCAACCCCCCCCCCCAAAAGCTACACACTCTACTCAATTCCCAACTGAAAAAAAGCACCTATTTGGATCCAGGAAATTATCTGAGATGTGCAAACAGACTAATGAATACCAGCAGACAACTCTTGAAGATAGCGGAAATCATTACACTAAATACACGCACAATCAAATCTTAAGTATTTTGAGAGATTAAAGGAACATTTAGGTTTGCAGGACTCATGCCTAGAAACCATTTTCATTAAAATTAGATTTCTGGAGATATAAACAGGAAGGCTATTGTATTCCTATGATTTTTTTTTAACTAGAAAAAAAAACTTTGGAGAATTTTCAAGTTCTAAACAAGTCCCATCTCTTAAGGGAAACAAAAGATGAATTTTGTTTAGATACCAATTCAAGTGCCAAATGAAAAAAAAAAAATTCTGGCTTGAGACACCTAGAAGGGCATCTGCTTAGAAAATGTTTGTATCAAAAACATTCCTGCCCTGAAATTAAGATCACATGGAAAGGTCCTCCTGACTGTCCCATCAACCAAAGAAGCTCATTTTGTGGGTACATGAGACAGGGCCTTTTCAGTGGGCTTATGGAACAATCTCCCCAGGGAGGTGCACCTGGCACCTTTCAATCTTTAGAAGGCAGCTGAAGATATTTTTTTATTTGATATTGCATTTGGTTAAATTCACTAGCAGTCCTGAGTTGTGATTTTAAATTTTGGCCTTTGTGTTTTTAATATATCTTACTTCATACGTTTTGTTTATGTTGTAAGCCACCTTGAGCTCCATAAGGATGAAAGGCAACTAAGGGGAAGGGAAAGGGAAGAACTACATGAAGAAAGTATCTAGATGTGTAGCATCATTATCAGTTCACTTAGGGAAGATCAGCAAATTCAAGGACAAGCACACTTTTCCTCCAGACGGCTCATTCCATTTTTTCCTGGCAGCAACATGTCAAGACCCATTAAAGTATCCACCTCGCCCCCTTCGTAATATACAAGGCTCCTCACTGGGTCTATGACTCTTTCACACTAGCAAAACCCCCGCACTATTTAATGGCTGAAAATCTAAGAGCCAAACCATGTTGCTTTGAGGCTCTCCTTTAGCTTCCTTTTTATTTATGGCCTAGGAAATGAGACACAGCTAGCTGGAATGGAATTAAGGAAATTAGTGAAATAAGGGAAAA